CGCTCAGAATCGGTTTTTGTATACAATGATATAACATCATCGGATTCAAATTTAATTCCATCCATTACAGTAACCTACTTGTAACCTACTGTACAGCAGAGTGACATCCACGACTAMCCCGCTTTTAAACATTGTAATATTGTTCAAACTAGTGATATTGTCAAAATCTGATTTATCACCATCGGAAATTGATCGGTGCAACCATATAACACACATATTTATATATTATACAACCATACCTATATTTACTGGCTATCATAACACGTTTTATTGTTAGTACGTACATTATATAATTCAAATACACTTGATTTCCATGATAGGAACTGGTAAAAAGTAGTATACATGTTTAATTAAATTCTTTAAAACCCAATATTTCTAGTTTTTAATTGTCTTATTAAGTACACATTAATACTAGGTATCTAAACATGGTATACAGCATTTACATAATAGAACGGATACGACGTAGAAATTTACTATATACACTACGATGGGCATTGTATACTAGTGAAGGGTTGAAAAAATTGGTGTTTCAGGAGTGGCGATCGTCTTCACTGTGAGTTGGCTTCCATTAGCCGTGTTCTCGTTGGCCGCCGACCTGATGACAGAGCCATTAACAGCTAAACAGCTATATGTGACGCTGGCGGTTTGTCACCTGACCGCCATGACTTCAGCTATCTCCAACCCAATTATTTACGGATGGATGAACTCCAACATCCGCAACGAGCTATACCAACTGTTCTACACGAAAATTCTGAGACGGCAACCTGGCAACCGGTCAACGGTGACAGCCACGACAACCATCAGAAACAGGACCCGACCTTTGATCACTTACAATACTTCAAATTACATGCCTGGAAGTCAGGAGACGTTTTCGAGAGGAGTCACTGTGCTTTAGGCAAGAGCCATGGATGACCACGGCCGTTACGCCGAAGGGGCAACGTTCCAGAATTTATTTATTTTCATTTTTTTCGTATGACATCCCATCCTCTATCGCGTAATTGTAAAGACACGATATTAATTTCTAATACGAAAATTTACATCATTTTACCAATATGATCTTATAATTTATAAACCAAGGGTTCTTAACCGATGATCCATCGCTGTAGATGTTTACTCGAGCTTTCATGAAGTGACTCTGGATTTTTTTTTAATATTCCTTTTTTTTCTTTAATAATTCGAACTATTTGATGACTTAGGTTCACCTATCCGTGGTTACGGTATTCATTGTTACGACTAAGATCAAAATATAACATTTTATAATATTTTTTTTTAATTATCATTAAATAATAATGAAAATGAATTTTTTTTTTATTTATGAATATATGAATATACTTTATATCTTAAAAGGGTGCATGACCCACAAAAAGTTAATACTCACTGTCCACTGTCCACTGTCCACTGTCCACTGTCCACTGTCCACTGTCCACTGATATAAACTACTTATATTTAGTAAAGATATTATTATGATTTATAATTAAATGTACCTACCAATATAATATACATACCGTGGATGTAACAGAAATAACTAACAACTGTGATTATCCAACTATATGTATCTAATAAGTAATGATACTGCAATAAATATATATATAAATTACATAATGATTAACTAAATTGGATATCGTGGTAAGATTATTACTTGGTATATTTTAACCGTTACCTATATACATGTATAAAAATATACTGATAGCATAATCACAGGTAACGAATTCGGAATTAAATACACAGTTCGAGACATATAAGAGATAGGATTTTTAATGGGCTACGAAGTGCACAGATTCAACTAATAACTATATAATTATTAGACCAATAGTTTTTACACAAAAATGTCAACTACATGTAACATCAGTTCTTTTCGTGACACTTCGAATATAATTAAGTACATTAATTGTACTGTTATGGCTCATGACYTATTAGAATGATTACCTAGCGGTTTTTTTCTTTTCGTCCAACTTTTGAAATAATTTAACACTTATTGTAAAATCGTATTTAAATAATTTATATGATAATATATGTTATTTGAAATATAATAAAAAAATTATGTTATAACATACATAATATAATATATTATATTTACAAAATATATAAWTTTTTTACCAGTTATATTATTTTTAAATGTGTTGCAGTGGTGCGTATATACTATATAGTATATGGTATATACTATATAGGCACACATAAAGCACATTAAAATGAGAAAATTAAATTATATTTATTGTTTTAAAGTGACTATCGTTTAAATAACTTTGCCATGTAAACCCTATAATGTTTATCTTTTTTTTTATTTTACGAAAAAATTATCATATATCAGAAAAACGTCGTAACAATATTCGCTATAGATAGCTGACGATAAACACCGATTTCGTCAATTATTCGATACTGCTCAATAACATAAATGCTCTATCACATATAACGCTCAGGCTTAATACAATTGATATTATTTTAATTATTATACATTATAAAATTACCATAAAATAATTATAGTAATTTGTAAAAACTGCGTCTGACTAAATAAAATATAGTTAATT